GAACAGGGGCACAGAGCCAGGAGGGGCAGGAGTGCCGTGTAGATCTTGAAGCTGTAGGCAGGTAGCTGGGGACCCAGGAGATCCGGACACAAGCCAGGTATGGGTGCAAGAACGTAGGTGCAGCAGCGAGCAGGAGAGGCAACAGTCAGGATGCGGGTCTTGGGACCAAGCACTGGTGCGTGGATACGGTGACCGACAGGTATGGCGGTGATCCGGATGCAGGTCAGATGCAGAGCCGTGGGTGCAGCGGAAGGTGAATATGGTAGCCGACAAGATGCAGGTCAGGTGCAGGTGCAAGCAGGATAATATAGCAGAGTCAGGCAAGGCGGGGTCAGTATCAAGCGGGCAGATAAGTACAAAAGGAGCAGGCAAGAGAATGATAGCTGAGGTCAGTGCAGGCGGAGTTCTTTCTTAGTCGGGTAATGCAGAATACAGGTATCAGGATCAGGAATGTATGCAGGAACGTAATAGACCAGAAGGCAGTGATTTTTAATAAATCTAAAGGATTTGTAGCTGCTGACTTTTAATTTTTTGGGATGTGCCTTGAGCTCCGCTTTAGGTTTCCTTTGTGCAAATCCTTCATCTCATTTCTCCCTATGAAATTGTAAAAGATAAAGCATTTGTAACATAAGCTACTGTGCAGAGGGATTAAATCTGAGCTATACTCAAATGTAGACCGGGGACTGTAGTCAATCTGACCCTACTAATATACACCTGAATCAAATAGCAGGTGCCTCTAGGATAGTGGTTCTTGAGTTACAGACTCTTAAGAATCTGATGAAAGCTATGGACCCCCTACCCAGAAATATTCATATAAATGTTGGGAATAACAGCATGTACTATAATGTACTATATACAGTATTCTGTGGTAATATCACTTGACCAGTAGATGGCACTGTATACTAAGGTCACTAGTTGTACATATGGTTCTCTCTCGTTCTCTCTATCATCTCTTCAGGAAGTAATGTGTCTGTAATAAGTCTGCTGTTATACAGTCTGATGAAATGTGCTCTCTATGTTTATAACTTAAGCCACACAAGTAAAGCCTGAATTCTGCTATCACTACCAGTGTCTTCTCTAACACATAACCAACAGGTTATGGGCCCAGCTCCAGACACTGAAAAAAAGGAAAACTACAAGCAAGTGCTGCATTTACAATCCTACCAATTCACTGAAAGATGGCAAGTGCTTCAGATATGAAGTTTACAATAGCAAAGCTCAACAACACCAACTACCAGCTATGGAAGTTTAAGCTTGAAATGCTGTTATCCAAAGATGACTTGTGGCAGGTACTAGATACACACAGACCCAATGACAACCCAGAAGAATGGGACAGAAAACAGGCAAGCAAAAGCAGTCATAAGCCTGTTAGTGGAGGATGATCAACTCATTCATATAAGGAAAGAAAGCACAGCTAAAGGTATGTGGACTGCATTACAAAGACTGCATGAACATGCAAACCTAAACAGCAAACTATATCTGCTAAGCAAACTGTATAAGATGAGGCTGGAAAAAGGGCAGGAAATGGGTGAACATGTAAATGCCATGTTAGAAATTGTGGACCAGCTGGGTGCAATAGGTGAAGAATTAAAAAGCAACCATGTTGTGGTGCTACTTCTGTGCAGTCTTCCAGAATCATACAGTGCCCTTATAAATGCTCTAGAAACTAGACCGGAAACTGAACTGACGCTAGAATATGTTAAGGGAAAATTAATTGATGAATACAGCAGAAGAAAGGAAAATTTGCATAGTGAAGAGAATGAGAGACCAGAGGCAGCTCTGAAGGTGCATGAAGGCATAAGACAAAGCAAAGAAACCAGGGTATGTTTTGCTGCAAAAAGGCCGGTCACCTGAAAAAGAACTGTTCAATCTGGAAAGCTGAGCATCGAAAGCGGGAGCTACCCACAAGAGAAAGAGCTAAAGCGGTCATGAAAGAAAATGAAAGTGCATCATGGAGTGGTACTTTTAAAGTGACTCAGAATAGTACCTCACATGGATGGAACATTGATTCAGGGGCAACAAGTCACATGACAAGCGACGAGACATTCTTCACAGAAATTGATTTTAGTGTAAAAGATAAAGTCTTCCTAGCAAATGGGAAAAGTATTACAGCAGAAGGTAAAGGTCAGGGATTTCTCAACTGCAAAACGCCATCAGGGGGCAAGCAGAGCATCCTTGTAAAGAATGTTCTATATGTTCCAAGCCTAGAAGGAAGCCTCCTATCAGTTAAAACCCTTGCAAGCAATGGACTCACTGTCCAGTTCAGAGGTAATGAATGCACAATTCAAAATGGAAAGCAAATCCTAGCAAGAGGAAGATTAAATGAACATCTGTACAAACTCGTCACTGAAAGTGAGAAGGCCAATGCGGCAACTCATAACCCACATGACAAGTGCATTCACCTGTGGCATAGAAGATTGGGGCATCGAACCCAGAAGCTATAAAGGATTTTGCAAAGAGAGGTCTATCAGAAGACATGAAAATATTGCCTTGCCACACACTCAGCAAGTGCACATGTTGCATCAAAGCAATGGCCACCCGAACCCCTCTTCCACAGACCAGTCAGAGTAAAACCATTAAACCCATGGAACTGATACACAGTGATGTGTGCGGACCAATGAAAACCATCACACCTGGCGGGAACAGGTATTTACTGACTTTCATCGATGATTATTCCAGGTACACAATAATGTATCTAATGAAGCACAAAAGTGAGACATTAGAAAAACTTCAAGAGTTTGTAGCTATGACAAGCAACAAGTTTCAAAGGAAACCTGGAATAATACACACTGACAATGGAGAGGAATATATGAATAAAGAGATGGAATCATACCTAAAGAAACAAGGTATTATACACCAAACAACTGTACCATACACTCCTGAGCAAAACGGTGTAGCGGAAAGAAAGAATCGCACTCTTGTAGAAATGACCAGATGTATGATTTCGGATGCTGGCTTACCTAACAAATACTGGGGAGAAGCAATAATGACTGCAACATACCTACAAAACAGGCTCCCATCAAAAGCTATTGAGAGTACACCATATGAAATGTGGAATGGATCAAAACCAAACGTAGGACACATCAGAGTGTTTGGCTGTAAAGCATATGCCCACATTCCAAGTCAGAAACGCTCCAAGTTGGAGAACAAAGCCATAGAAGGCATTCTGGTTGGCTACAGTGAGCAGAGTAAGGGATATAGAATCCTTTGTCCAAAGACCAACAAGGTCACAGTAAGCCGCAGTGTTTATTTTGATGAAAGTGAAGCATCAGATAATACAATTCTTGAAAAATGTGGAGAGGATTTACACGTTGAATCAGCAAGAGACACTGATTTATGCGAAGCAGGACAAGAGCCAGAACAAGAAGTGGAACTTACAATCAACGATCCAATAGAACCCACTGAACAACAAGAAATCAGAAGATCCTCTCGAATGACAAAAGGGATACCACCCCGCAGGTTATCATACGCTGCTAAAACACATCAAACACAGGAGCCAACATCCTGGGAAGACATAGAAACTTTGCCGAGAAGGGAAGCCGATCAGTGGAGAAAAGCAGCTGAAGAAGAAATAAAATCACTTCAAGAAAATAAAACTTGGTCACTAACAGAACTCCCTCCTGGTCGCAAAACCATCAGAAGCAAATGGACTTTTAAAGTAAAATATGATACAGTCGGAAACAAGTGACTGTTGCACTCTCTTCAACTGAAGCGGAATACATAGCAGCAGCACATGCATGTCAAGAAGCCATTTGGATTCGTCAACTTCTACTAGACATGGGACTGAATATGTCACAACCCACACCCATCTTTGAAGACAATCAGGGATGCATAAAGCTTACACACTCTGAGAAGATTAACCCAAGAACCAAGCACATTGATGTAAGATATCATCTGCTCAGAGACATGCAAGAACAAGGGGTTATCGACATCCAGTACTGCCCATCAGAGGAGATGACTGCAGACACACTCACCAAACCTTTGCCAAGGGAACGTCATTGTTTTCTACAAAAGAGACTAAATGTCATATAATTATGCACATGCCGTTGAGAAGGGGTGTTGGGAATACAACAGCATGTACTATAATGTACTATATACAGTATTCTGTGGTAATATCACTTGACCAGTAGATGGCACTGTACGCTAAAGGTTACTAGTTGTGTATGTGTAAAACTTGCTGATACTTCCTCTTTTCTCTATCATCTCTTCAGGAAGTAATGTGTCTGTAATAAGTCTGCTGTTATACAGTCTGATGAAATGTGCTCTCTATGTTTGTAACTTAAGCCACACAAGTAAAGCCTGAATTCTGCTATCACTACCAGTGTCTTCTCTAACACATAACCAACAATAAACACAAAACTTTGCATGCAATGAATATATGTACTTTATTTTATTGCAATATGATTGCCATCTATATATATATATCATAGACAAAGTTTGAATAAACTAAATAATCTCAACAAAAAACCCACTCCTTTTCATGCAAAATGACCACCATTGCAAAAATGAAATACAATCATCTTATGCAAATTAAACAAAACAATTTTAATTCTGCTCAAATCTACTACTACTACTACTATTACTAGAAAATGAAAATTAGCACTTGCAATGATGGAGCGGCACAAGCTGGCAGTTGAGGGCGATGGTACAAATTCAGAGGGTAAACATGGGCACAAACAATGAGTCAAGAACGTAGTGGCAGGGTGCGTTTCCTTTAATTTCTTTCAAAGGGAAAACATTGACTGGGACGAGGGGGAGGGCCAAATAGTGAATATGTAATTTTTTTATCTGACCAATACGGACTCCCTGAAACCCACCCATGGACTCTGAGAATAGAAACCCTGCTCTAGCTGTATGTAATTTAATCTTTTTTCGATAATGCCCATGGAAGCCCAAAACCTTGTGCTTTTTATACAAACACTGATGGCTTATTCTAGGAAAATAAATAAATAACTTTGGTAGCATATGAAATAATAATACTAGTTACTGGTCTATTTGCAGGTGCTGGAGAGTCTGGAAAGAGTACGATTGTCAAACAGATGAAGTAAGTGAACTCAAATTTAACTACATTACACCATTCTAAAGCGCAGTAACATTCTTTTTAAAGTATTCATACTTTTTTTTCTATGTTACTTTTATTTTGTAAGGATTATCCATCAAGATGGGTACACAGAGGAAGAATGCTTGGAGTTCAAATCAATTATCTATGGCAACGTGCTTCAGTCAATCCTAGCCATAATCCGTGCAATGACCACTCTTGGCATTGACTTCAGTGACTCAAGTAAAGCGGTTAGTGTGAACTATAAAATACTTTAATGTGGCTAAATACACAATGAAGCTTACCTTGAAATCGGGTCATATATAGGTATAGGATATATTTGAAATAATGCAAGGGGTTTTATATCTATCTATCTATCTACACTGTGTATATCTATGTATGTATGTATGTGTGTGTGTGTGTATATACAGTCATGGCCGAAATTGTTACCCTTGATATTTCTCCAGGAAATCATGTATTTCTCACGAAACGTATTGCATTAACACATGTTTTGCTATTTTATTTTTGTGTGTTTGGGACAAAACAAAAAAAGGGAGGAAAGAAAGCAAATTCGACATAATGTCACACAAACCTCCTGGGCTGGACAAAAGTATGCACCCTTTCACTGTGGATAAAAAAATGTTACAAGCATGTGATGCTCCTGTAAACTCACCTGGGCAAGTAACAGGTGTGGGCAATATAGAAATCACACCTGAAAGCAGATAAAAAGGAGAGACGTTCACTTAACCTTTGCATTGTGTGTCTGTCTGTGCCACACTAAGCATGGACAACAGAAAGAGGAGACGAGAACTGTCTGAGGACCTGAGAACCAAAATTGTGGCAAAATATCAACAATCTCAAGGTTACAAGTCCATCTCCAGAGAACTAGATTTGCCTTTGTCCACAGTGCGCAACATTATCAAGAAGTTTGCAACCCATGGCACTGTAGCTAATCCCCTGGTCGTGGACGGATGAGGAAAATTGATGAAAGATTGCAACGCAGAATAGTCCGGATGGTGGATAAGCAGCCCCAAACATGTTCCAAAGACATTCAAGCTGTCCTGCAGGCTCAGGGAGCATCAGTTCAGCGCGAACTATCCGTCGACATTTAAATGAAATGAAACGCTATGGCAGGAGACCCAGGAGGACCCCACTGCTGACACAGAGACATAAAAAAGCAAGACTACAGTTTGCCAAAATGTACTTGAGTAAGCCAAAAGCCTTCTGGGAAAACGTCTTGTGGACAGATGAGACCAAGATAGAGCTTTTCGGTAAAGCACATCATTATTCTACTGTTTACCGAAAACGGAATGAGGCCTACAAAGAACAAAACACAGTACCTACGGTAAAATATGGTGGAGGTTCAATGATGTTTTGGGGTTGTTTTGCTGCCTCTGGCACTGGGTGCCTTGACTGTGTGCAAGGCATCATGAAATCTGAGGATTACCAAAGGATTTTGGGTCGCACTGTAGGGCCCAGTGTCAGAAAGCTGGGTTTGCGTCCAAGATCCTGGGTCTTCCAGCAGGACAATGACCCCAAACATACGTCAAAAAGCACTCAGAAATGGATGGCAAAGAAGCGCTGGAGAGTTCTGAAGTGGCCAGCAATGAGCCCAGATCTAAATCCCATGAACACCTGTGGAGAGATCTTAAAATTGCTGTTGGGAAAAGGTTTGTCCTTCCAATAAGAGAGACCTGGAGCTGTTTGCAAAGGAAGAGTGGTCCAAAATTCCGGGTGAGAGGTGTCAGAAGCTTATTGATGGTTATAGGAAGCGACTGATTTCAGTTATGTTTTCCAAAGGGTGTGCAACCAAATATTAAGTTAAGGGTGCCATACTTTTGTCCAGCCCATTTTTGGGGTTTTGTGTGACATTATGTCATATTTGCTTTTCTGCCTCTGTTTTATATTTGTTCCAATACATACAAAGGGAATAAACATGTGTATAGCAAAACATGTGTTAATGCAATACCTTTTTTGTGTGAAATACTTGATTTTCAGGAAAAATATCAAGGGTGCCAACAATTTCGGCCATGACTGTATATATATATATATATTTTTTTTTTTTTTCTTTTGGGCACACTCTCTTCATGCATTACTGTGGTAAAAAACGAATTTATTAAAATGCATAAAATTTGCATACTCACAAACCATCTCCATTGGTTCATGAGTATGCACTTTTATGAAGTTTAATAAAACCATGGTAATGCACGAACAGAGTGCGCCCTTTTTTGCTTTTTTCATCAGTACCAAGCTTTTCTGATCTTTCAAGGGCTGCACCTTAGAGAATGACACATGCAGTACCCCCAATCAGCATGAAGATTTGAGCGCTGGTTTCGTTTTTCTTGATTGAGATATATATATATATATATATATATATATATATATATATATATATATATTACACACTGTGTATTTTTATATATATAGTGAACTTTGGGTCCTTTTCTCCATGTGAAATTGTTTTCAGTTCCACAATAGTGTTAATACACAAAGCACAAGAGATATTTTACTTGTGTTTATCATTTTTATCTCATGATCGTGTTTGCATCAAAATGTTTCACTCACAAAAAATCCCTGCGGCTTTCTCTCCTTCCTACAGCTGAGAATCCAGAGCATCTGCCTCCATGGTGTACATCCCCACTCTCCACTCAGCATGGGATCAGTGTAGGGAGGATTCCTGCACGGCTCCTGTGTGAACCAAGGCTATGACAAGCCTGGGTTCACACAGAAGCAGTGGGAAAACCACATGCAATTTGCACAGAAATCACATTCCTATTCAAATCCCATGCTGTTCTTTTGCGGTGCAATTTTCATTTTGTATTGACGCAAATCGCACCGCAAAGTATCGTTGCTCGGTTTTAGCGAGTACTTGACCGAAAGTATCGGTACTCGTACTTGCCACTCAAAAAAGGGTTTTGGCGACCCCCCTATTTTTTACATATTTACATTGGTCTACCTTGGACCAATGTAACTACTGTATGTATATACCATACCTGGCCAGTGACCCTGGAAGTTGGAAATCACTGAAGTCATACTCAATACAGTCTGCTGCACTACCCCAGTGATTTGCACTTGCTTCTGGGTCACATGCTGAGCAATCAGCCTGATGCATTGTGAACACAGGAGATCAGATGCTCAGCACAGGCATTGTTCAAATAATGTTCTGCTTTTCCTGAATGAATGCAAAGAATTCTCTAAATGGACGAGGTGGACGGCATGCCATCACTGCCTGCCTCTCTCCTTGTCCAACTAGAGAACTACAGTGATATCCAGCTTCCAGGAGTATCGGCCAGGTATGGTACATACACAGTTATATTAGTCCAGGCTGAACCAATGTAATTATGTAAAAATATACCATGCCTGGAATTTTTCTTTAAGTGCCGGTGCACACTATTGCAGTGTGGGAAACCGCATGTGATTTGGACAGGAATCGCAATGCATTCCTGCTCCAATCACATGTGATTCTTTGCAGTGCGATTTGCGCCATTTATTTTGTATCAAATCTCACCGCACCCACAGGAAAGGTGAATACACCTTTTTTTTCTGCACTGGAATCGGATCACATGCGTGTTCACACCCATGCGATCTGATTCACCCAATTACACTGCTTTCTGCCAACCTTTTTGGGGTGTCATTAACTTAACAAAAACACCCGCAGTGGTTTGCATAATGATGCGGTGCAGAAAATGCAAATCCCACGCTGCATCAGTGTGAACCGGCCCTGTAGGCTATGTTTACCATTTGCACCATGTTACATTGTAAAACCAGGACTGCAGAACCAAAACATGGATACTCCATCGTATAATTCAACACCACGTTAAGATTTAAATCGAGCAAAACATATAAAAAACTCAAAAATGTTGTCCTGTGTTCATTCTCATGTATTCAACTGAAGATAGTGGCTCAAAGCTAATCTATCAAGTGAGAAAAATTCATCATGTGAAAAATCTAATGTGAATCCCATCCCCGATATAAGTAAAACACTCACCAGATGATAAACCTCTCTGTACCGAGGTGTAACCACCTTATGAAAGGATGTTCACCACAAGTGGCTACAGAACCATTCTCTGCCTGAGAACTTTTTCCACCACAGACATCTAATCAGCTCAATCCAGGGATGGGGTCACTCCATATAAGAAACCCTAAATCACCATATTGCTGGAGATGTGCTTTCCATTAAATGGGGAAGCAACCTCACAGTGTATTATTTAATAAAACATACATAAAAACAAGTGCAAAGATCAACACAAAGCCAGCATGAAATACCCACATGAGCACTGCTGCTCAGAACAGGAGACATGTGACACTGTGACAACAGTGCAACAAGCTTCGTCCTACATGTCCTGTTGGATGAAATGCAGGGGTACATAGTATGTACCACAAAATTCAGAAGTTACTAGTAGGAAATGCAGAGTGAACTGGTCAAACGTAAATATTAGAGAGTTCTAAGGTCAGTAGTAATACAGAGTTCAAACATCAGTAGTACGTAACACAGAGTGCAGTGATCATTAGAGTGCCTTGAAAAAATATTCATACCCCTTGAAATTGTTCACATTTTGGCATGTTGCAACCAAAAATGTATTTTATTGGGATTTTATGTTAATTTGAGTCAATACTTTGTAGAACCACCTTTCGTTGCAATTACAGCTGCAAGTCTTTTTGGGTATGTCTCTACCAACTTTGCACGTCTAGAGAGTGACATTTTTGCTCATTCTTCTTTGCAAAATAGCTCAAGCTCTGTCAGATTGGATGGAGAGCATCTGCCACAGATTTTCAATTGGATTTAGGCTTGGATTTTGACTGGGCCATTCTAACACATGAATATGCTTTGATCTAAACCATTCCATTGTAGCTCTGGCTGTATGTTTAGGTTCATTGTCCTGCTGGAAGGTAAACATCTGCCCAGTCTCAAGTCTTGTGCAGACGCTAACAGGTTTTCTTCTAAGATTGCCCTATATTTGGCTCCATCCATCTTCCCATCAACTCTGACCAGCTTCCCTGTCCCTGCTGAAGAAACGCATCCCCACAACATGATGCTGCCACCACCATGTTTCACAGTGGGGATGGTGTGTTTAGGGTGATGTGCAGTGTTAGTTTTCTGCCACACATAGCTTTCCACTTTTAGGGCCAAAACGTTCAATTTTGGTCTCACCGGACAAGAGCACCTTCTTCCACATGTTTGTTGTGTCCCCCACATGGCTTCTCACAAACTGCAAACCACACATCTTATAGCATTCTTTCAACAATGGCT